GCGAGCTTAGCACCGTGAAACGTCCTTGCGGCAGCCCATGTTGTTCCGCGGGCAGGAACCGGAAGTCATCGTCCAGCAACAGCATGGTCTTCCTTCTTCATCAAGGAGACGCCGAGAACATCTGTGCGTCGAACGAGACGTCGATCCGCGTCTGCGGACAACCTGTCATGAAGAAAATTGAGATACCACCGTGTCCTAAGTTCTGAATATTTCTTCAAAAGATGATTCGTCCTTTTATCGTGAAACCGGAAGCATTTTAGATAGAGGGGAGTTGTTCCAATGAAGCCACGAAACAAATTCGTAGATAATTCCGGGTAACAAGGCCTGATCTTATTTATATTGTCAAATATTTATATTTTCAATTGTTATTAGTGGCATACTGCTCTATAATCTTCGCGATCTATGCTCGTTAGGTTTATTTTACTATTAATAATAGTTTTTGCAAGTGAAAATTTACGTTGAAAGTAAAAACGTCAAGTATAGCGAAGTAGTCTTTCATTTCTCTTTATGTATGATAATAAAGAAATATTGATTTTCATTGAATTGTTCTAAAAATCTTCATTACGAGTCTCACTCATTAATATGTGGTAAAGGGTTAATAATGTTAATAATAGTGTCCAATGAATTTTAAACTTGGAATATCTTCTACATGTTTATGTTCAATGCAATTTTTAACGTATCTATTACGTGTTTCTAGAGGCGACGCATTGAAGAACATATAATTCTGATGACGTACGGGATCCACGTCCTTGGGATACGTCATTACGGTGAAACGTCGCGAGAAGAAGTAAAGTAGCTGGAAGTTGGAAGAAGTAAAAGTTTCCACGTTACCGGGAAATGTCGTTCGGAAATTCCTTTGGAATTCTGACCGCCCCACCCCTGAAGTTCGAGTGTAATTTACAAGTGTGAACCCAATAAAATGTACACGACCGTTGAAAGTATAAATATAACTTTATATAACATCGTCAGAAAAATATTATAAATATTAAACATTCATTCTCATAAATAACATTAAGATTTCGTTTCACTGTTTAATGTCGGAAAATAGAATCGTAGGTTGCACCAAAGGTCACCGTTAACGCTGTCTGAACCTTCTGCGTGATACCTTGAACTGTACCGTATTTATGCGATCTCAGAAGTTCAATGAATACGCAATAAATTCGATAATTCAACTCCGCCTCCGATAATAGTCGTAATAATATTCTAGAACCTCTGTAACGTGTCTGGCATTCATCGATCTTCCTCGATTTGGTTTGCATTGAACTAAAGACTGTTTGGCGCATTCGTTAGGCGGCGTAATAAACAATTTTAACCCTTCGTGGTCCAGGTTATTGGTCGGTGTTTTTTAGTAATACTTTATATTGCACTTCAAACAAATCTTCTTGATTGAAATGAATCCAACGCATTCGTGTATCGACAAACTCGATCACTTCACATGTAACGATCTGATAATTACTTGAACTGTAGACCTTTGTGCAGCACCATCGAGAAACGCAATAAAATAAACACTTTTAAGACAAAAATTTTAAGGAAATTTAATAAATAGATTTTAGACTTTCATGCAATTTGTACTGTACACAATTACGTAAATCCGTGTCTCTGTATCGACCTTTGCACGTTGAATTCGAATAAACCTCCACAGTCTACGAACAATTGTATTCGGTATTGTCGCATAAAGGAAAATAAGTACTCCGCGATTGGGCCACGAAAGGGTTAAAAGTAAGATACGTTCAGTGTCTCTAAGTACCGACATTAACTTTCCGCGGTGTTACTATAAAAATACAATTCTAGAAACAAATGATGTGCCTCCACGGTAGGCGGTTAAATCTTTCGTAATTTGCCTTTTATCATTCAGTGGAATGGAACAGCCACGGCAATCGTGTCGATACGACGAGATTACGTAAATCACACGATGACGCAAATTATTCTTCAAATTGTACGAGAAGGATAAATAATTCTTTCTGTTTTTTTTCTCTTTTCAACAGTTCAATGCTTTATGACGCACGACGTATGGCTGGGAACATCGCGCGTCGGAACACCTACTTTCACCGCGAAATTTCTCGCGCGCTCAATCTAACATATCGAGAACACAAAGTATCCTCCGTTCGAATCATTCGAACGAATGATAAGAGCGACAACAGATAAAAGTAATGGAATGTAGAGCTTCAATGCAAGCTTCGCAGTGGCCTCGCGTTGTAGAACGTATGGCTGGGACGTTTTACACGCGAGAAACGGCAACGAAATCGCTTATTCAGAATAAAAATCCGCTTCCACAATTACAGGGTGTTCTACGATGAACGACGCGACCAAAGAGCTGATGATTGTGCGTGCACGATATCAAAAAGAAACTTTGATCTCTCACGATGGTTCGTCGCTGAAAGGAATATTCGAACTTTCAATGATCTTTCTCCCAAAATCCGTAATCCACTGTCCATATTTTTTTTGTATTATTCATAAATCCATTATCGACTCTATACAAGAATTATTACTGTACTACAGAAAATATTGCACAGCATTGGTCACATTATTTTTTAATCATCTTCAGTCGCTTTTCCTTTCGCCACCGTAAAAAGTATAGAGCCGATCGCGCAGCGAGAAGCAGAAGACGCGTTCGCGAACAACGAACGGACTGCGGATTCATTTTACATTTACACCATTCGCAGACGTATATAACGCAAAGAAACGAACGATTCGAATTAAATTTAAAATACTTTTTTTACGTAACTATTGTAAGTATTGTAATAATTAAAATAAATTTCTATACAACCCCAATTCGTAGAAATTGGTCCATTAAACGTTTGTACTCGCATAAACATCTGTGGTCTAACAATAAATACGTAACATCTATAATATCTATATTATCTTAATTGTTCGCTTTGGTCACGTAATTCATTGCAGCACACTTTGCGTTGATACGCGCACAATTTCTCGGCCAGCCCGATACGTCGACGGCCAACACTTTTGCTGTCGGGGAACCGTAACATAGAATCTACCATACGTATTGTCTTAAAGCGGTCGCCCGTTGAAAGTGTTCCGGCGGTCGTTTGGTCGGCGCCGGTCGAGAAAGCTCACCGGAGAATTTCCTAATTGCTTCGTCTCGTCGACGAAAACGCAGCTGCCCGAGGGAACGACGCGTTAAACGTGTCCGTGCACTCCCGGTGCGCATTGACAACGTTACAAATAATATTCTCAAGGTACAACAATCGACACGGTCGTAATTGCGGCTGGTCCAGCAGCGCCAGTAACGTTGCCAATATACGGGCTGCTTCATAACACGTTAGACTCGTTTCAAGAGTGGCAGCGTAAGTTAAAGACAACGAAGAAAGGAATTATACAGACGTATTTGGCTCTTGTCCTACGGTTGATCTTGTTCCTGAGTTCTAAGCGAGTCTGTATTGCTGTGATATACAGTATATTGATGATAAATAATGTATATTACAAGAAAATTGTTTTAAGTATATAACAGTTGTGTAACAGTTTAATAAAATTATGACTTGTTCCTTGGAAAGGGTATCGAGGTTCTTCGACAATTTGCCGCTGATCATTCTGATCGCCTAAATATTATTACTTGGTCATCAACAAATCGAGGATCTTTATACGCTTATAAAATACAATAAAAATAAATAATTTTTTCATTCGATTCTCACCCTAAATAATCTTTCAGTTAGAAACTTCTCGGTTACTTTGAATCTTCTAAAACAACTGATAAAAATGGAAATTTGCATAAAGATCCATAGACTAGCCATCAAGAATTACTAGATTTTAAAACCAGCTATCGCCCAGGAACAATTCTAAGCAGAACGCGAGTTTACTTGCCGTGTCTCGATTGTCATTAACACGAGTTTCCATTCGTTACGAAACAGCCAGTATCCGCAGAAGCGTAAACGTTATTCAACAACAAAAGAAACGCGATATCCCTCGGGTACCGCGCGTTGTCGGCTCTGAATTTCGCGAAACGATGTTGCAAGTTCGAGCCGCTCGCTCGCCGGACGAGAAGCGTCGCGTCGTTTCCCAAACTTTCTCGTCCAGCGGCGTTGACGTGATCCGGTCGAACCCGCGCAGTTTCCGCAAGCAAATTAACTACCATATTGTCTTCGTGTCATTCGGTCAGCAGTTTAAGACCGTCCCATCGGGGACTTTGTCTTTGGACAACGTCGTCGAAGTTCGCCGCTCGTGCCTGAACGTAGTCCTCAAGACTATCGGCGAGACGTCGAACGGAAGTGTCATCGGATTTCCTTTTTTCCCCTTCCCTTTTTTCTCCAATAACGTAGGCGCGGTTATGTCTCTGCTCGTGAAAGAACCGAGAGCAATATTAATCGAGGTAAGCGACGCCGCTGAAATGACTGGCTTTTTGGACGCATTTTTGAGGTAGCAGCGGGGCGAAACGTATTCAGGGGGCAAGAATCGTGTCGGGGCCATTTTGGTTGCGTGGTCCCTCGGCCAATGGTAACGACATTGTTGGGAAGCGGTCCCGTGTTTACTTGTTGTGAACCAGGTTCAGGAATTCCTCGCGAGTCTTTGGATCGTCGCGGAACACGCCGAGCATCGTCGACGTGACCGTTTTGCTGTTGATCTTCTGCACTCCCCTCATCACCATGCACATATGCCTGCGAACATGTCATTACATTTCTTTCATCTTTCACCTTTTCCTTCATTTGTCCGCGAGGTTACATTTGTTGCATTATTAACACTAGGTTTGCGGAAGTTTATTTCATTTATTGTAGAGTTTATTCTATTGTTTGTAGGAAAATTGATGTTCGTTCGTTTAGGTTTTGAAAATCAGAGGTTTAACAATAGATGATCAAGATACATATTCATTGTATCAATCAAAATTAATAGAAACGTTTACTAATTAATACTTATAAAATTCGATATGCGTCAAATTGGCGCGTCCCGTAAACCAAGTGTTAAGTAATAACTTATTGTCCGTGGCTCAGGTAATTTACATAATCATTGAGATTCAAGGTAACCATGTATGATTGAAGCTAAAGAAAATACATCCCTTTCAGTTGTTGTTACTGTTATTACCGTACATGACACTGTGAATTGATGATATCTCACGCACAGTGATACAAACGTATACCAATGGAAATTCAAATAAAACATAATTCTCGAAGAAAAAAACTCTCTTGTCACTTGTCTTTTTATAATCCCAGCGTAAGAGTGAACACGCCCCTGTTTCAATTAAGTATTTCCGTTAGAATCGGGAGCAATTAATTCACGGCCTGTTAATGCATGTATCAATGGTAATGATGCCGCGTTATTGCCATTCAATTTTTTTTCTTTCGATCCACAGTCCCGTATGGACGAGCGATACTGTTATCTGATTCACGAGAGTCGAAGATTACAGTGATTAGCGGTGCGCTGCGTACTTATACGTTCCACGTCCAAGCGAGGCCGGGGGCCATTTCGACGAACGCGACGATTAGCATTAAGGACGCGTTCGCATAATTGATCTAGTTATCGAGCCTGTATTTTTGTGCAATTTTTAAGACATCGTCGAGCTGGGGTCCAAGGACTTCGTTCCGCGGTGACGTCACGCGACGACGTTTTTCCCGACGAACCTGTTTTCCCCGACGCGGATTGCGACGAACCGTCGATTTCCGATTACCGATCAAGATTAGAGCGAGATTAGAACAAATTAAAACGCGTTACGGTGTTTAATTTATCACGGTCAATATTTAACGTTAATATTAATGACGACGGTGATGATAACGTTCACACCTTGATTACCGGTTAACCTGGTTTCTGGCTAATATGCAATACTCGCGAGTTACAATTTTCACGTTATGCAACAACATAAATCACGTTGATTGTCGATTACATGAAATACATTAATTTTTAAGCGTATTATACACGTTATCGTTAAAAATGCTGAACCTCCGTGCCGCTCGTGACTGAAAAATGCAACATTCCCGAGCTGCGAGAATGCACTTTAATTCTTTACCAAGAGATAGCACCTTATTAGCACAAGGTCGCATTCTTACACGCGATTAGTCCTTGCGAAAACTATTGCTCAAGTGGCAAGCACGTTGAAATGAAACCGAGGGAGGCGCGAAATCACCGTGCTCGCCAGGCGATTTCGGTTATTGTTCTTCGTCTTTTATCTACTTCGAAGTATTGCAATCTTGCGCCGAAGAAAATCGTTCTACCCCTTTAAACTGAATGAACGTCAACTGGCAACCGTTTAACTTATTCATTGTGTATCGTAAATTGTCGTACTCATAGTTACAAAATAGTTAACGCTAGAACTACCAGACGGGTCAAACTGACCAATAACGGAATGCTTGTTTTACAATTATCCAAGTTACAAAAACGTTTCCATGAAAACTTGCAACATTAATTCGTGTATTTGTGCAGACACGACAATAAAAGCTGCTTCGGATTTCAAGAAAGATATTCTCCGAGTTTTTATAAGAAATTATAAGTAAGTCACTGCAATTCATCGGTAGCTCTAGTGTTAAGAAATCTATAGTAAATAAAGCTTATTCGAAGAGAAAGACGGCTGGACCTTCCATACTAATAAAAATCACGAGAATTTCAACTAGTGACTCAAAGCTGCAACTGTTTATTAATGATTAATGAACATCGTTAATGAACGAGCGCGTCGAAGGTAAGGATACCTACACTCCTTCGACGACAACCGCTACCCCCGCCGGTTGCACAGCTTTAGTCACTGCTACGGCAATCTGCTTGGTGAGCCGTTCTTGAACCTGTAGACGCCGACTGAAGATCTCCACAATTCTGTTGAAAATCAACGACGAATATTAATAATTCGTGAACAGTTGATTCTGAACATTTTTCGATTTAAGTACTTTACGTTTTTCAGGGTTTTACCAATTATAATTGTAACCCAATGTAAGAACATCGTTCGATCGTACTTAAACACAGCTTTCAATTTTTAACGATCGAATTGTCAAGCATATAACTGTTTCCGTTTTTATAAATTGATATAGACTAAAAATTGAACCACAAAACTTTAGATATACAAAGACTCGAATTCAAATTAATTGAACATCGATAAGCTAGTAGACTTCGTGCATTCACTTGATTAATTTGATTATTTTATTTAACAACAATCTTTTAACATTTTACTTTACGTCTTCTTTACAACGAAGCACGGTGATGCAATATTAATAAATCAAGAGGTAACTAATTTTTCTCTTACAATTGTTTCTTTGTTCGTGTAAGAAGTGCCGATGTTCGTGCAGCTGGATTCGTACTCGCATTTATCATTCCATTCAAACGTGTTCTTTTATTTTGAAACCCGAGCGTGGGGTACAGGCACGAGATTATGAAAATTAATTCGGAGTCCTACTTAGCCAATTTTCAGTTAGTGGAAGCGATGGTTAACGAGTAAATGGACGCTGGTCGACCGTACGGCGTGGTGCGTGAAAGTGCTCGGCGTGCCTACGATCAGCAAGCGGCGTCGTATTCTTTTCTTCCCGCTTTAATATTCCTTTAAATCAAGGCCGTGACCACTGCCGATGCAATTTGTTATCTCGAAGTTGTGAAACGCGGTATATCAGCTTGCCCCGTGACAGTACTCGCGTCGCAGCTGTTTATTGGCAAACTTTTGTACTAACTCGACTGTCATATGGCTGCGGAAAAATTCGTAACGAAAGAAAAATTCATTTCCTTTGACCTGGCACTTTGTGTGGCTCACCATTTCTCGAGTAATTTTCCTTTTTAACACAGAACTTAAATTTCTTTTTTTCTCAATATATTTTCTGTTAGATATACCGCATTATCAGTACTCTGTGTTATTATGAAAAACAGAATGACAAAGATTTGATTTTTTCTAAGCAAAGTTTGTTGAAGAAAAAGGATTCCTCTTTTCTTATGACGAATTTGTCATTGTTTCTTTATATTTTATAATTTAAGTACTCGTATGTCGATATTGTTCGAAATATTCAAGGAATTCCTGTACACATTCAGTGTTAAATATAATTCATAAACTAGAATTAAAGATCCGAACAGATGTAATAAAAATCTGCGCGACTCGACAAGAATCGGATTCCGATACGCAGAGGATAACAGTTCAATCGGGAAGTTTAATTGGCCGACAAGGAATCACGGAAAGCAATTAATTTTCATTACGTCGTAGAAGGATATCGCTCTTTTTAACGCGTGGACCAATCGTCTCAATTAGTCAGAGATTTAATTGCACCACAATCTCGAGTCACAAATGTTAATTCGGTTTTCATTGTAATAATGTAAATTCCCTTTTCCATTACCTGGCTAATTTGCTGAGCCCAAGGATCTTCTTGCAGGGCAGGTATCCGATCGAGACTTTTCCATAGAACGGGACCAGATGGTGTTCGCACATGGAGAACATTTCGATGTCCTTCACGACAACCATCTCGTCGTGGTCCTCGTCGAACACTGCGTCGTTTATGACATCTGAAAATTAAAAGACATCAGTCGCTACTAAATAAAGCTACGAAAAGGTTCGCACAGTCCTGTGAATCGATTCGATGTAGCCATTTCGAATTTTATAGAAATTATGCAGTGAAATTTAATTTAACTTATACAATGAGAGACAAAAATATTCGCACGAATCGTGATTATTTCTATTAAGGTCCTCCGATTTTTATTTCAGACATGGCCATTTTACTGAAATTAATCTATCATAAAAGTATATAATAAAATGTCCAGGGAGAAGTAAAAAAGAGTAGCGTATCTCATAAAGTTTTGAGTTTCTAAAAATAACTGTTTCCACGGCGATATACAGTTGTCTCAAAGATTCCCTAATTGACATCGTAGAAGTTGAAAGGAACGTCCTACGTAACGAAAATGTACAGGAATAGCTGAGCATTGTCGTTTAGATTGTTCCGCGAAAGAACATCCTGCACGTGGGTTAAGGTCCTCGCGATCCTGTCTGTGATTTACCCGATATTGACCTACTTACTATAGCGTCGATACTAGTGCTGATGCGTAGGTACGAATCGGTGGTTGATAGGTGTTGGTGGGTAGGTATAATGGAGGGTGCACTCTCCACGGTTTCCATGGCAACCTTAACAAGAAACACCTTCACAATGACCGACAATGATGAAACGAACCTTCGCCCCGCGTTAATCAACTGTATATTTTCATATGTAACAGGGAACCGGGGCCACGATAAAAAATTGTCCAATGAATCCCACCTACGCTTACGTTGAACGACCCGAATCGTTTTAGCTACTTGTGCGATGTTCTTCTCGCGTACAGGGTGTTCCATAACACACGGATGTTTCAAAGAATTATCTACTATTTATTTAAATTAACTAAAAAGTCCTTTTGTAGAAATAACACAGATTTTAGAAAATTGCAATAATTGAAAATGATATATTTCACAATTAATGTTTTAATATTAAACTTCGTCGATTCCTTTACATGTATTGTGTCTCAAAGATGGTTACATGTTTTGTTAATTATACTTAAATATGATATTGAAAAAATAGCTCAAATTTGCCATCGAAATTATGAAATGAGTTTTATGCAATCTGTAAACAATTGATCCTTTTTTTAAGCTTATATGAAAGCGTTTTTTACACCTTGTACATGCCCCAAGGAAGATTAGACCTCCTTCGCACTTACCCAGTCCACAGCAATTTTCCCTTTTCTATTTACCACCTATCCGAGCCGATGCTCAAAGCGAGCAGTTTAATTTTTCGATTCGATGACTTAATGCGATCACCTTTCCATCGGGATTCGATTAACCAGTTCAATTCGGTGTATCACCGGCTCAACGGACTTTTCCATTTCGCATTGTCAGGTGAAAGTAATCACCGCTGGCACCACTGTTTTTCTCGTTTCGTCGGAGCAAGTGAAATTAGGCTTTCATCGTGTTCAGTCGCCACCTAATTACGGGGCCAGGACCTCGTCACAGAGAAAAGAGACGCTTTTATAGATCGTCGAGATTGCTACAGGCTGTCCAAAAGTGTGAGACGCGAACTATCACAGTGAAAATGAAAATCATAACTATCTCAAATATTGAAACAATATCATTTCATTGGCTATTTTACGAAGCTAAATGTTATACACATATCGATGATTTTATCAAAGACCTTTTAGCCATTTATCTAAACTATCACTAGTCATAACGTTATTCATCAAACAAATCAGTTCTCTCGCATATTTCTCACTGACAGTAACATGTCTTTCCATGATAATTGTCAAGTGTTCTTTCGTGAAGTTGTAGTGAATCAATTTTTCGAACAACGTGCAAAGGTTGAACGCCTCCCACTCGGAAATCCAGGCTTCGTACTTTTGTCCGACAGTGTGGGGGACATTTCCAGCGAGAATTCGGCCAAGCTTATGACCGGGAATGAAAGGCAAAGAGAAATTGTCAGAAGGGAATGGTTTCACGGTAGAGGCGGTGGCGGTAGGGTGGTCAGAAGGGGGTGGGCCGAGCTTTCTCTAGGAAAGTGCTCCGGGACTCGTTTCAGATTCACTGGGTCGAGTCGAGGCACCGTTAACCGGGCTTATCTCGAGGGCAACTCCACTAAAAGAGGGGGGCAGGGGGTTAAGTCGAAGTGAATTAAAGTCTCTCCACCACCTGTAGCTACCCGCTCGACGTATTTCTCGAGCAGATACGGGTCGCGCCATTTATTAAGGGCTACTTAAAGCGATTGCAGTTAAAGGGACTATCGTTGAATCAGGGACTTCATACATAAACCATACATAAGATTCCCCACAATACTATGGTTTCTGTTCCTGTTCTTACTGGCCGAAATGAATTAACCCTTAACAATCGAAATAATCCACTGAAGTGCAGTATTGTAAACAATTTTATTCTCTTTATATTTGTTATACTTGTTGTTTGGAATTTTTTTTTTGTTTTATTATATGAAAAATATCATTTATGTTTTAGACCCATTTCTATCTCAACATTTAGTCGATATTCTGCTGCTTTACAGGAGAAGTGAATATTACCAAAAAATGATCGACTGTTAAAGGTGAAAAAAAATTCGGTCGACTTTATGTGAAAGTAGGTGAAAAATATTTCATATAAAAATTTATGAAGGAAAATGGATGAAAATACGAAGGAACAAGAAATGCAGGGTTGCCTCTGTAATTTTGCGTTTATATGGTTTCCTTAATGTCTGACTTCGAGAAAGGGCAGCAGCAAAATGCGTCAACCATTGAAAGATATTTTCCAAACGTTTCTATTCGAGATGTGTCTCGGTGTTTATATTTTCCATGCGTGCCCCTTTGTAACGACGCAATTAATAATACAATTAAATATTCGAATTTTCAACTGATCGCGAGTAATTTCGCGTTTATCGTTACCTCTTGAATTCCGACGTTGAAAAAATTGGTGAAGTCAATTGAAGAAGTACCGAAGATAGTAATGATCGCCGCGATAGTGACGGAAGGAACGAGGAACAGTCGACTCGTTAAGGATCTTGTTCCGCAGTCGACGCCATTTTATTCCGTGGGCTTATAATTACTTCGGAACAGTGGCAGTTGTACTTTGTCCATGATAAATGGAAGGAAAAGGTGAAAGGTATTCTTCTCAGGCCTGTTCCGCGTCCCTGAGACCCATTTATACCGTGAAGCTTTGGTGTTCTCTTTTTTTCAATCGTACTTAAAGTCTTCCTCTTTCTCTCCGCGTGACGGATCCTCAAGCTGGTTGAAGTGGAAAGAACGAAAAGTACGCCACTTTCCTCGAGTGGAAAATTCTATTCGCGGTTTCATATTTCAACTGTCTTATCCGACGAGAAAATTCGTATAATTAATCTAACGTAATGTCGGTTGATGTATTACCAACGTATTATCGAAAAATGTCAGCTTCTCCCTTTCATTTCCGTATTACGTTTCCGTTTAACGTCGAAATTTTTCGTTACAACTCGACTCCATTCGACATGATTACACGAATAGACCAATGGAAGGTTTAATCAATTTTTAAAGTAATTTGAAATAGTTCATCGACTTTTTAAAAAGAATGTACCGAAATTAATGGAGCTTTTACGTCACGTGTGACCTAATAAATGCTCCGATCAATGTAATGAATTATCTTTGTCCTTGATTCGTGCGAAGTTACATTTAATAACATTCTATTTCTAAACTTTGAATACTTGATTTTGTAAATAAATTACAATTGTAATATGAAACGCTTTACGAGACTTGTTTAGAGTTATCGTAAATTACGTTCGCTAGGCATTTAAAGTCAAGATTCGACAGGGATTGTAATAATAACGTAGATTCCAAGTGATAAATGTATTGGTTCTCGGTATTCAGCAATAACTGATGGCTCGTAATTACGTGTCACTATGATTTAAGAATAAGTGGAATGGATTTGAATCGATTCATGGATACCGGTGTACGCATCACGCTCGATTAGTCTCTGATATGAGCCAATTGCGTCTCACGTAACGGAATGTTTCAACGATATTAAAACTTATTTAATCATTTTCATTGTTCTATATTGTTTATGGAACGATCATTGGCATCCATCGTGTTTTTCGCTTTTGGCGTGACAATGATCACGAAACTGAATGAAGATCATACCTAGCTTGCAAGGATAAAAGTGTTATATAAGGATGACTTACCTTCCAGACTTTGGTCGTAGCCCTTTGTGAAGAAAAGCATAGCTTTCGCAGCACGTTCCGGGGTTTTCAAAAGACCCTGACGATCAGGATCCTCGCCTAAAGAGCTCAACAGTAGCCTGTAACTTCGTGACATTTCCGGAATCAGAGCTTCCCGCGTTGGCGGCCTGTGATCCAGCTCCAAATCGTGATGGAATGTACATTTCTCATGACCTGTGGAACAGGGAAAAAACATCTAGAAATTTTTCATTGCAAAAACAAGGACAAGATTCACTATTTTTCTTCTTGGCCTATTAAAATTTTAAGATATCTCTCCTCGAATATGACTTTAGTTTCGTTAGAATTAATTTTTTAATTACTCTTTCCATATTCATTCACATTTTATCGAATTACCGCGTTTTTCATCCTGTAGACGTTCCTTTTCTTTTCTAAATTGATAATTTTTATCAATTTCTAAATTCTCTTGTTCGCAGGTTAATTCCAAATAGAAATACATTTGTGTGTCACGATAAGTCCGTGAAAACACAGATAAACTGTTAAAAGCAGGAACGTGTCCGCTTATGAAATCTATTCCGATTTTTCAATTTTAAATGAAGCAGAAGACGTTAAATATCAACACCGCTATCATCGCTCGCGGTGACCCGCGATGACTGAGGATCCTACTGCGTGTGGTAACGAAAATCAGCTTGCCTTTTCATTTTGTCGCGCGGAACGCCGATAAATCTTATGACGCGTTTTTTTTTATCTTTCATTGACTATTCCTAAACAAACGTCAAATACATTTCTCGGGGATTGAAAGTGAAAAATTGTAATTTAATGCACGACCGTTTCGTACTCTATACAACGCTTTGAAATATTGTTTTATCGTCGTTCTCGTATTTTACATGAGGTAACAAGTTTTTCATAATTTTCTTAATTATCTAACAAGACAATTCAAATTGAAAACATATGTTTTTCCCCTGTCACTTATTAAAAATAATATACACGCGGGGAATTAGTTATTAAATCGGACATTATTTAAGTATTCGTGGTATTGGTGACTATACAAGCAAATTAATTGATAATTAAATTTGACTTCCGTAAATTATTTAATAATAAATTGCGCGGTTCTTTGTAGTGAATTGCAACAACATATGTAATTTTCATTACAATCCTGAAAAATCCATGGCTAAGTTTTAATAACCCAAGCAATTTGATGAAGTTTTCAAACACCGAGTCATAGTTTTTAATGAATATGTAATGTAACAGCTTTTTATTAAATAACATTTTAACGACGCTGCGTTCTTTGATCGAACAACCGAAGGTCTGCTTTTTATCTTTTTCTTACCTTCAAAGTTGATGATCAGAAACCTCCCAAGTTTCCATTCACGTCTAACATAACGCTTCGATCAAGCCTCACGATATCGATCGATGAACAGAACTCCATTTAAAACAATCATCTTTAATGACATTGATTATGAAATACAATGGCATGAAAAAAAGCGAAGTTGAATAGAGATGAATGAAATCATTCTGCCTTCTTTTAACTTCTGCTACTTGAGAGAAACGAATCAACTTGATGTATTCAACTTCACCGATTAAAGATCACCTTTTTATTATATTAACAATTATAGTAGAATATTAAGACAGTTTTCTAAATTAGAAGGTTCAGAAACGCAATTTTCTTAAATACTTTATAAAAGTAGTAACTTATAAAATTCTGAAAGTTACAGCCGTTTAGAAAAGAGACATCAGAAATAAATGATTATATACACAGACGAGTTTCTCAATCTTTCTGATATTAATCCTTTTCAATTTCCTGATCTCGTTAATTCCCGAACTCGCTACATAACGATTAAAGATCTACCTCCGGCAAACTCCAATGATTTCCAGAGCAATAGAAATAATTTGCAGCTTGCGCGAAATCCAATCCGTGACGGGACCCATAGACAGCCAATCTAGACCGTGTTAACGTTAGCAGTAGCTGCGAGACTTCTGCAAAGATTTATTCATGGAACCGTGAGGCTCGAGGCTTGATCGGCTTGGAACTGACGTATTCACAGCAGGGAACTAAGTTAAGACATCGCTCTCGCTAATGAACCGTATCGCGTAATTCGATCGAGTAACGACGTTCGCACTGCCACCGGGCACCGAGGGGATTTCTGTTCAGCGTTCGCCATAGTCGCGCGCCGCGTTAACGATTAGCGATCGATTGTTGGAAAATTACGGTGCTTCGTTCTAACTTACTGGTATCTAGCAAACGACGCGCATGTTTTCTCGCTGATTTCGGGCTCGACGCTTCCCACATCACGGGAGATCTTCGTCTTCAAGATCAAACACTGTGTTGTATCAAAAGTCCGCACAGTCTTCTTCGGAATCAATTCTTTCACAATGCTTCTCTTCCTTTAGAAGATTATAAGAGTTTTACTTGTATGTGAAGAATTCAAATTAAGTCAAAAGTCAAATTAATTCAAAAGTCTTTAAGAGGAACGGAACGGCGAGTAGGAAGAGCGTATAGTCCGCACACTTGTTGCTCTCCGAGTTCGATTAAAGCTTAAATGAAGTCATTGGAAATGTTCGGGAAGTCTGTCGACGATTCTACAGACTCTATCGACGATGGCTTATTTGAAAATGATTCGTAACGTTTTATCATATTATGTTTTCTATTTGACCGAAAAATGAAAAGATTAATTTACTATAAATGACTGATGCCAAAAAAATTCGAAGATAATGCGTTGACCCCTTAACTTACAATGTCGTGTCGTTTCTTAATAAATTATTAACGATAAAGTAGTTGTATCGATCATAGTTGAGAAATAAATCATAGGGCAAAAGGTTAGAATTCTCAGGGCTCGAGAAGCTACTTTTCAATATGGCTAAGTGGATTCTATAGAAAGATCTCGGAACAATCAGCCTTACGGGTGGTTGAAAATGACCGAAATTACTCAATTAAAATCGAAAAAGAGGGAAAGGAAAAGGGAAGAGACGGAAAGAAGAGTCGTTATCGTTCAATCCAGTTGGGCAAATCCTCAACGGCGTCTCCCGGCCGGGCCGGAACAGGTGCACGGGAATTTTTCCGGTCTTATCCACCGAAATAAAAAAGAAGGAGGGGGGAAAAGGCGTTCTCCCACAGAAAGTCGATGGTCATGCTACGACGATTGTACATTCGTAACGTTACAGTTACGCGTTTACACAGGATCATATAACTGTACCCCAACAGTTCCCAGGCTTTTTATCATTTTAAGATCAGCGGGTAGGTACGATTGACCCGGAAACGAGAACTATGGCGAGTACTCTCCAAATCTTTTTCACGGGCCGCGGCTTGATCAATGATAGCAACGCTGCACGAAATGAAATTAAAACGTCGGTCGAATGCGTGGCGGTCGGATACGCGGTGTTTTCTGTCACTGGCGAACAATGAGAGGCCGACGAATAAAGCGAACGGAACTTCACAGTAACATCCAATGCGCCGGTTAATTCCGAACTTCAAGCTGCCGAGCTCTGGATGCGTCAATTTACTTATCTACAATAATCCATTGATTTATGAATTACTTCCATTGCAACTATTAAAACACGTAAAAATTTCAGAGCATCGGCGATAAACGCTTCTAATATAGAAAGCATAAAACAGAGAGAGTCATACCATAATTGATCCTTTCGAGACTATACTGAGTAGTATAAAACAATATAAAACAGAGTATTGCAACCAATTAATAATTAACAAATTATTATTTTACCCAATGATCTATCTTTGTATCCCCTATCAATGTAAAATAGAAATACCAAGTTCAACATAGCAAACATAGAACTGCAAAACACAATGAAATAAACTAAAATAAACACGAAATAGAATGATTTTTACTATCGCGATAAACCCACGTCGCAAAAGGAATAATCCTCTATTCAATCCCAATCACCGTAAATGTACCGCTTTCTAAAAACTTGAAAGCAAACGAATCTTTCCATTCGACTGGAAATAGACCCGGATCCAACGCTGTTCCAGGGACAACCGCTGGACCTAGTTTCACAGTTTCCAACCCGTTATCGTGACCCGAAACAATTGCAGAATCTGCGATACCTGGGGTGGTGGATGTGCGTGGTGTCCTGGGCGTCCCCGGCACGTCCAAGTTGCTCTCCTCGACGTTCTCCGTCCAAGAAACGGTCCTTAACGGGCTGGGCTTTTTGATCATAATCGCGCGGTCATTGTCGCCGTCGTAGAAGCTCTTTTCCTTGATCTTCGTGATCCCGTTCATGGCTGGCGCGAAGGCTTCACTCGTGGTTGCTTCTAAACCGACGAAGGGGTTGTTCGAGAATAAACAGACAACGCTGACAAACATGGAACCGAGACGTTTCAACGACGATAGGGGCAGGGAAGGCGAGCAAGCAAAGAACGAAACGAAACGGGAACGAGGGTTCGCGGCGCTGATATTGAAACGCCACGCGAGAATTGTCACAATAACGCGATATCGAACTATTCGCAGCTATTGCGAGAAATAACTCGATGCCGAGTTGTTTATCCGAGTCACGTTCGGTTTGACGCCGCGGCGTCCGAGCAGCTGGGCGACTTCTTCTGCGGAAACGTCGCGTCGGGGACGAGATTCAATTTAACCCTTTGCACTCGGGATGTGGCTATCAGTCACCACTTGATTCGATACAGCGGAATTATAGAGTTTAATATTTAAATAATATTCTGTTAAACTTTATGTAACGTATCATAATGTGAAATATTGGAATAAAATGGTTTTGTTCCTTAATTTGTCTTTGAATGATCGTTTAGTTAGTTTCTAAAAATATCGTCTAGAAAATAGATGTTTTTAGTGAAGCACTTTTGAGTGCACAGGATCAGTTTAAGGTCGTTTTTTCATTGTTTTCCATGGAACAAGCACGATTTTATGCGTCTTTTTCAGCGTAATGACCATATAAATCAGCACGGTGGACAGTTTATTTGGAGCTCAACGATGCTTTCATTTTATTCGCAACGATAAGACTTATGCAAATTTTTGAGAAATCATCGAACTGCTTATCATTAGATTTTCATTACAATTTTTGTTTTCCTTCGCGAGTGTTATGAATCTACAGAGCTCACAGTGTAATAATTATAATCTAATACGACAATTATGAAAATCAACAATAGAACATTGTTTTATGCAAGCGTAACACAGACAGAAACTGCCTTCCTTTCAAATTCACGAATATTCATTTTTAATTCACCGAATATCAACCCTTTAGTATAACATTCTTATCACTGTTAGTATTCGCAGTTCACAAAGTAGTTTACACTTATCCAAGTCATGTTAATTCCGGATCCTCGAAGCGGCAAAGCGCGAGAACCGAATTCAAACAATCAACCGGTCACAATCGATCCGCCGACTATTCCCGCGCGCGTGACGTACGAAAGATCGTCTGTCCAATAAAAGTCGTCCCCGAATAAACCGAAAACATCATTAAACTCACTGCCAGCGCACTTACAAAGCACCGCGATCGTGCTCCGATTGCCAGTCACCGAGACCGTCGTAACCATTATCAACGTGATTTAAATTTCTTTCGAAATTCCTTTCAAAGGCCGGCTATCTCTCGCGTAAATCATGATCGAGCGAATTTGGGTGGCGCGTGCGGATCGACGGCCGCGCCACGTGATCGGCGATCGCGCGCGTTCCGATTAAGACCAAATGCACACGAGTGATTTACGGGGAAATGTCACAGCTGCGACTCTTTCGGACCAATAGGAACGCAACATTTTCTTATCCCTTTTTTCATAAGACAGAAGAACTTTGTTTCCACGTTCCCTCAAAGCAATCGCGAAATTTTTCCGCAAATCGTTCGCGTGAATTTGGCCTAAAGATCGTTTCGAAGTAACGGAGAAACAAAGTTCTTCTATCTCACAAGAACAAATACAAATACATTTGCGCCCCTATTCTTCCAAAATCGTACAGCATCTCACCCGGACCGTGTGCATACAGCCTAAGACTAAACGCACTCGAGCGATCCTTAGCAAGATATCACTGCGATTCTTCTAGGAAACCAAAGACGCGAAGTTCCTTCAGCTCACAAGAAGAAGGATAAGAAAGCTTCGTGTATCTATCCTTCGAAAACAATCGTCGCTGCATTTCACTGCAAACAGTTCGTGTGTACGTAGCCTAAGGCGAAATGCATACGAGCGATTCACGTGAAAATGTCGCGGCGGCGATTGTTTCGGAGTGTCAGAGAAACAAATCTCTTCCATCTCATAAAGACAAGTACGAGAGAACTTTACGTCTGTATTCTCCCAAAATCATACAGCGTCACCGTCGCGACATGGTACTGTTCGTGTGCATAGATATAGCCTAAGGCGGTCGGGGGTTCCGGGGGTTGCAGGCGAATGAAACTTACTCTCAGTCGGTCCCGGTACCCGGTTCACGTGCGCCCTTTCGGTCGGTCGGCCTCCCTCGGAGATCGTTAACCGTTTCCCTTCTCTCTTTCACGGGAACGATATCGGAATCGATAGAGGAAGCAAGAGAAAAAAGAAAAGTACCGGTGGAAGACGACGGGAGACGAGATCGACGTGTACACCGCGGCCTGACGGTGGTTCAAGGGAGAAAATCAGGGGAAAAGGAAAGCCGAGAGAGAACCGACAACCGTTGGTAAGGAAGAAGGGCCGCGCGAAGTCGCTCGGCCGACTGACGCAGTGTGACTGAACCGGAGGAACCGTGGCGAGTGGCGAATGTCCCCCTATGAGCTCTTCCGTCTTCGTTTCTCTCTCCCTCCAGCTCTGTGTCGCTGTTCCTGTCCTCCCGTTCGGGCGAGCCGTTCAATGTATATATGTATATATATATATATATGCTCGTTCCTTTTTTCTTTATTTTATATTTCTCCTCGCTTGCTCTATCTGCCCGGTCGTCTGTTTTATCTAGGAACTTGACCGTACCCGGTTGACGCTACCACACGACACGGCCCTCGAAAAGCGAGGCTTCGCGCTGACTGATCTGCCGAACCGCGCGGCCCGTTCAGTATATATCAGGAGAATGCAAGCGCGTGCATGCCGGTGAGAGCAACACGGGAGAGAGAGCTCCCACTACCGAACAACGATCCTCCCTGGATCCTCCTGCCGCCGGCGCGACAGAGGGAAATACCCGGGAACCGCGTGCGCCACGCGCACCGGGTATTTCTAGCGCGGTTTCGAACCCTTTCCGGTTATGCGGAGGCAGGCTTTATTCGATTTTATTTGAATGGCCGCGTATTCTACTGGCTTTTGCTGTGATTATTCGTGATATGGGTATATCACGTGTAGGTACAATTTTAGTGATTCGTAAATAATGTTGTTAACATTGGAACTACCGGATGAATCAAAACGACCCGTCTTGGCTTGCTTTTTTCAGAATTATTGGAAAGACTCGGATACTTCTTTGAAAAATGATTGAAGCATCTGATTCGGTAAAACTTAAACTGAAATATAAGTTAATTGAAATCTTAATGAACGGTTATAATTTCTATAAAGACATTTGGAAGGTCGGTTTAAGCGCTTACTAGTGTTAAATAAATTATTAACGTGGACTCGTATGTAATGAATAATATTGATTACTACTAAACTGGGCTAGAAATGTTTACTACGAGTCTTACTCGTTATTATACGACAATGGGTTAATGCTTTCAGAAATCCTCGTTTGCTGTGGGTTCGGGTTGGGGTAACGAAAAGAATAATGGAAGGGAAAAGTGTAAAAGAATGGTAAGTATTCGATCGTATATAATGATTGTTCATGGAGTGTAGAATCTCATTTATGTTAATTCATAAAGATTGGATTCAATGAAACTAGAACAAAAGTTGAATAGAGCTTTGACAGATCGGTGCAAGAAGAGAAGAAAAGAAACCCAATCCAGCCGAGTTTCTAGTACGCGAGTCAGAATCTACGTCACCGTGATTTCCGAGAGACCGGTTCCCTGAATGCTTCCGTTTTCCTTCTGCACGTAGGACGATTCAGAACAATCTCACATGCACCGGGTTCCAAGTATGCGTTCGATGAGTCAGGTGCGCGTCAACGAATAGAGAAAATCCCCAAAATCGAGAATCATAATCTTTCCCCCTCCCGACTGATAGAATATCTAAAGATACATCGGAATCTCTATTTTCTTTTATATCAAAATCTATGTGAATTAAAATTTTTCGCGATTGCGGTTTTCTTTAACTCCATCAACTTTTGCTTACCTTAGTTTAAATCGTTTTTTCTTTCACATTAAGTGTTTAGCTACGAAACGATAGTTTCAATAGACATGCGAGCGACACGATGACCTAGGTAATTACATAATGTAGATTTCAACCGTGATCATGTAATTGTAAGTGTACGTGAGTCATAGATGTAATGTTAATCTGTATTAATAGTAATTAATAATAATAATAAATATAAAATTAATATATAAGAATAATAATCAATATAACAACAGTTATTTAAGAAAATAATCACAGGATTCGAAAATATAATCCTGTTCGAATCCCGCAGATTCAGCTTATTACACGCAACCGATAACTTACATAAGTTATCATTGTGTGTATTTAAGCGGTTTTACATACATATATTTATATTATATACATGAATGATATGAATATATATTTATATATTGTATATATTCTTTTTCCTGATATCAAATCGATTCATGAAATACGGAATTAAAAGAAATCGTAGGTAATTATTTGTGCAATGGTCGACGTCCCCTTATCGCTGTAGTAAATTATTATTAATGTAACGTCAAGTGAGGATCAAATATAACATTAAATACAATATTTAATTTACTTTTGAAGGACAGAGGCGCGCATACACGTTCACTCTGATAGTGTCCCTGAAACTTCGCCACGTAACGCGATACTGATATCCCCATTATAAGTACTGTTGTTATAGGTAATTAGTATGTACTAACAATAATTGAAGGTATGATGGCGGCGTTCAACTGGCCATTCCCTGTTTCAGTAATTAAGTTTAAACGTCGATGAGGCTATCCGATATTCCATCGAGGCTATTAGGTGGCAAGGGACCCGGAGGTAGACTCCAACGATTCAAGTTTCACGACACGCCTATTATACTTCATAATAATAGATTAAGAATCTTTATCTCACGCCTTAAATTTATTATCACTACCCAATGCACACGTGTTAGTTGTGCTATTGTTTTTTGTTTTTACTTTCTGTAGTTTTCAGTAGATACTCATCGAAACGTACTTATGTACTTAACACATTTCATTAACGATGACGTCTTTTTTGCGTTCACAACCGGGGAACAATAAGGCAGTGTTACATCTGCATGATTCTAGCAATCTCAGTTTCGAAACCAACGTGACTAGTAATGTACGGATTTTACCTACTGACCGATGTAAATGCGTAAAGTTCAAAGTAACGAGGACTTCGGAAATATTCGTTAGAGGAAAAGCGAATTGAGGAAAAACGAAAGAGGAAAAGTTTTATAAAACGTCTTTAGTCATAGAATTTTACGCGAGCTACATTTTTACATTCATCACAATAATAAGAGATGAGTACATCATTCTCATTTCCTCTAATATTTATGTAAATAAAATAAGTTAAATAATGTTTTCCCTTGCGTCCATTATTAATCGTTCCAGCAGTGACAATATTAAGACCACCTGGTTTCAAAGGGTGAATTGTCTCTTCAACACGTTGCCAGAGAATGACTTTCTGTTTATGCAAACAATATATTTAAAAAATACATTAGCATGTCTTCAAGTTAACTTTAAAACATAGCACATGCAACTTATCAGAAAATATTGGATATTTTTATTGAAAATTTGTCGAGTGTAGGGAGTTAATGCTAAAGTAGTTGCATCGATAATAGTTGAGTAATAAATCATAGAGCAACAGGTTAACTCCTTGCCTGACGATTTATTTTGAGTCGAATATTCGTGCTTATGCTGTTTAATTTTGTCGCAACTCTATGGACACGCCCATTTGAAAGAAAATTGAAGTATCACGGTTTTAATTAAATTTATTTATGAAAATAAAACAATTATCTTAGTTATGACATAGTATATTTGTAATATAATTTGCGAAATACAGTTTCGCACAAAGAGCATGCGTTAGTCAGACTCGTTATTTCATTTCAAGAGGTTAATCGTCGCAAAAGAAGAATTCTGAGATGGGCTTTCTAACTTATTCGACAGTTCTAGTCTTATAGCGGTGAGGTCCTCGCTCGTGTTTCCCCTTCGCGGTACTGAGGCTCGTCCGAGTTCAGCTGACCTTCACTACTTGCAATCAATAACGAAGCCGCAAATGCTGGCAGCCTGGGGATACTGGTACCGATAATTATCGATCGCGTCCAGCACGTGTCTGCGCGAGACAATGAGCGATCTATAACGTCGGGGCCCCGATAGATCCGTGAGAATACACGTAACACCGGCCCCGTCCGAGCGTGGTGGTCCCGGCCACCGCGGCTTAACGAGCGCGACGACGTTTTTGCGGGGCTCCCGGTATATGGCTCGGTTGAAAACGAGAAGAAAAACTGAAGGAAAGGCAGACCGATCGCGCGTAGAAAACCAAACTATAGATATTGGCGAAGAATTCTCGAGGTCGGTCTCACGTAACGCGACAGGAGAACGGATCAATGCCACAGGAGCGTGCCAGAGACGCCCGGGGATCGGGATCTACCCCGAATAACGCAACACGATCGTTTCTTTTTTTCTTCCTGCACGTGGCCATGGAAGCGAAACAGACGTATGTAGGAAACGGATGATAAATCCTTCCGCGTCGCATCGAGAACCGGCAGACAATTAGTAAGCGGCTGTTCTAATAACAAAGAAAATCGTTAACTGGAGACCGCGAGAGTCCCTTTCCGGATAGCCATCCTGGATCTATTTTACTGATCGGAATATTTGAAGGGTGCTAAAGTATTCGAACGTTTTGTATATTAGATATGTATACATATCGTAGAATCGTGGATTATATAAATATAACTATAAGGTAATGGAAGGCTTGTTAAACGGTTGTAACGGTGGCATCCATTACTGCGTGCGCACTCTGCGGATACTAATGCCTTTATACTTTTGTCTATGAAACGCGATGAAGTATATGTTACGATAAAATTGATAATAATTTTTATAGAATTTTCATTACATTAGGATGTTTTGTAGGGTAAATAATTCTTCATTCGATATCGATCTTCAGGAATTTCTTCTTAAAGACTGGGTATTGCGTAAACATGCGCGATTAATACGTCTTAAACCCACAATTACTGTATCTTGATGCGTAAACTACTGGTCTTTACATTGACGCTTTAATTGTTCGATTATACAAGGATTTATACGTTTAAATCGTAGATAAGGTTCGAAGGTATTAATTCATCAAGTAGAGAATATAATAACGTTCTTCGTATCTACTATTGTTTTAAAGAAATTGTTCTTGTTATCAACTCGTTTATTTTAATGAATATTTTAGAGTATACTTATTCGTGTATTACGAAGATACATAACATGGTTTAAACATCTGGAGAATTAATTCGTCATTTACGTTCAACTTGCGGGTATTGTTTTGCTTATCTACTTGTTGATTCTCGCATTCAACGCCGTTCCGGTATCCAGAGTAATTAACGCGAATTCGATTATATTTTCTCAGCAGAAGTTTTGTAAAAGGGTAACAGGATATTATTTTTATTAAAAGTGAAACTTTTAACGGAAAAAATCAGTTTTTCTTCGTATTCATGGAATGCCTAAATCTGAGGCTAATTGACGAACAAAAATTTCTGATTTCGGTTTTCATAAATTAAACTTTTTGAATGCCATGTAATTTGCAATAACCACGAGTTAAGGAACAATCTCAAATTATTCAAATAATTTTGTGAATCTCCGTTCCGATGTGATAACTGGAAACCCTACACACTTCTTTGATCTTTATCGTGTATATCACCCCAATGGAGCCACCTGATATTTATCACTCTGATTTCACGTTTTACTCTATATAGACACCCGATACCGTTTCCTAATATCGTTCCGTTGATATCTAATATGATTGGCATATGAATCTACGAGTAACACGAC